CAATTAAAAACAGATTAATTAATTAATACTAGAAGAAAATAGAGGGTGGGTGGGCGGAGCTAGTACTTGTTATTGATTTTCGTAAATGACTGAATAATATTAAAAGTAATCACTGGAATGGAGAGGGGGTGGGTGGGCGGGGCTATTGCTTGCTTATAAAAGATTCTGTCCGAAAAAGTTAAACTTAGTCCCGCCCACCCACCCGTTTTCTATATTTTTTTCATCAGAAATAAGATATAAATGTTATGGCAAATAAGTAGTAAGTATAACAAAAAATTACAATTAACGCTTTTTTTAACAGCCTGCTTCCGTGATTCATTTTGTCTAGTCCGAATGAAAGGTGGATTTCAATTAAAGAGAGATAAAATCGTTAGAATGAGAACAGCGTGTAGGGGCGGGGCTAGTATCTGCTAAGATTAGATTGATTTTGGTAAATGACATATTTTCCCAGAAAAAAGAGTGGGTGGGCGGGGCTAAAACTTGCTAAGCTAGGACTAAACCATGTTAAGAGTAATCAACGGAAAGAAGAAGGGGTGGGTGGGTAGAGTTACTGCTTTCTCATAAAACTAGAAAAAAGTTAAATTTAGCCCCGCCCACCTCCTTTCTCCAATTCACTAACGTATTTTATTTAGTGTAAAATGAAAATTGAAAACAACAGTATTGTATTCCCAAAATTTCCTGAGAAAATGGGGTGAGCCGTTCCTGATTTAATCAATAAAATAACTGACTCATTCATTAATTTTTTGGATCCAGCTATTTAAGCAAATCTAAAAAATTTTAATGCACTGATAAATCACAAGTGAAAACTCATCACATTTTGCACATTTTGGATAAAATTTATTCGGCAAAATTTTGAGTTGACGTCATCAATTTTTTGGAGGGAATAAGTAAATATATTATATATGTTTTTGTATATCTTTTCAAACACCCATTATAAACAAGTGTAGAAAATATGGATGCATTAGTAAACTAAAAATCCAGATGCATAATATTTTGCACAATTTCGATAGGATTTATTATTTATCTAGCAAAATTTCGTGATGACGTGATTAAGTTTTTGGAGGGAGAAACAAATAAATTCTGACAGACGATTTACTATCTTCAGGATAGTCTGAAAAGTTTCGTTAGATTTCAGAGCAGTGAATTTTGTAAAAAACTTTGATTGCATAATTTTGACTTTTTCCTGAAATCTAGATAAAATCAAATTTTAAATGGAGATGACGTTTTGAGTACCTGTTCTTTGAAAATTAATGATTTTAGAAAAAAATGGTGTGCCTGTTTATTGATTACTGTGGTAAAAATGGATGCCCCGCCCTCCCGCCCTAAACTCCGCCTTAATGATCTTTTTATTGCTCATGAACTCAAATCGAATGAAAGTCAGATGCAAATAGCATATTTTTTCAGAAGAAATTGTTTTTGAAACTGTTAAAACGTCTGACCAAATTTAAACATGCATGCTCACAGCATAAACAAGCACTTTATTTCTCAAAACGCCGCTCTACAACCTTTTTCAACGTTCGCCATCCTCTTCCCCCTCTCTTTCTCTATACCAACCTCTCTCCCCAAAAATCCCCAAACGTTTTGTATAGGCTAACAAGACTTATTTCAAAATAATAATTCGTTATTGAAAACAGACTATTCTGAGAAAAACATTTAACGAATAAGCCCCGCCCACTCACATCTTCTAGCCTAAATAGGTTTGTTTATTGATTGTGAAATGAGACCCGTACCTTAATTTCGAATGAGGATTTTTTCCAGAAATACCACTGTATTTTGAATACGTTTTAAGTACCCGTTCTTTGAAAATTAATGATTTTAGGAAGAAAAAATGGTGTGCTCTTTTATTGATTACTATGGTAGAAAATGATGCTCCGTCTGCCCGCTCTAAATTCCGCCTTAATGATCCTTTTTATTGCTCATGAACTCAGGTCGAGTGAAAGTTAAATGCAAATACCATATTTCTGTAAAAGAAATTGACTTTGAAACTTATTTTAAATAATTCGTTAATAAAAAGAGGCAATTCTGCGAAAACAATTAAACAAATAAACCCCGCCTATTCACCTCTTCAAGCATAAATAAAATTTGTTTATTTAACGTGAAACGAGAAACCTCCTTTAATTTCAAATGAGGAATTTTATGTAGAAATACATTTTGAACACATTTTAAATACCTGGTCAATGGAAATGAATGATTTTAGAAAAAAAAGATGTGCCCCTTTATTGATTATTATGGTAGGAAAGATATGCCCCACCCACCCACCTTAAACTCCGCCTTAATAATTCTTTTTAATTCTCATGAGCTCAGGGTGAACGGGTGGGGAGTAAATGTGTTTCACTAAAAATACTCTCTTTTTAATCCTACTCGTGTTTGGCTAATTGTAAAATGTAACTGTATATAGTGCCTAAATGAGGCAATACATTTAAAAAACCTAAAAAAGGATATGTTTTTGAGTATTGTGTTATTCAAAGAATAATACACATATATTTACTAAGAAAAATTAAAGCCAAAGGTTAAGCCCCACCCATACCTGCCCTAATCTAAATAGTAATGATGTTTTCATTCGTTGGCAGACCTAGAGGCGGAGCCTAATTGCAAAATCCGTATTTCCTCTCAAACATTTACCATTTTAAACGTCTTTTCAGTTTTTAAGAATAAAAAAAAACACCACATTTGCGAAGGGGTATTTTGCCTTTTTGTTAATAGAGATAGTATTCTTTGAACAACACGATACTTAAACACATGTTTTTAATTTCACTTGCTTCACAGCGAATAAAAAAATCATCACAATAGAGATAGGGCGGGTGGGCGGGCTTACATTTTGTCTTTTTATTTTAATATATGTAGATTTCTTTTCACAAGATGAAACTTAAAACATCTTTAAAATGGGACATTTATATAAGGAAATATCGATTTTACAATTAGGTTCCGCCCCATAATTGCAAAATCCATATTTCCCTGCAAAAATGTACCATTTTAACCATTCTCTAAGTTTCTTGTTGTGAAAAGGTGACTATGTATATTAAGAAAAAAAAAAGACGAAATATAACCCCCACCTACCCGCCCTATCTCGATTCTGATGATTTTTTTATTCATCGTAAGCCGAGGGGCAGAGATTAATTGCAAAATCGATATTTCCCTATACAAATTTACCATTTTAAAGATGTCTTAAGTTTCTTATTGTGAACAGATGATAACACATTAAAAAAAGCAAACAAAATGTAAGACTCGCCCATCCGCCCTATCTCAAGTGTGATGGTTTTTTTATTCGTCGTGAGCTAATGGGGCGGAGCTGAATTGGAAAATCCTTATTTCTCTATAAGAAATAAAAAACATGTTTTTGAAATCGTGTTGTTCAAAGAATACTATGTATATTAAGAAATAAAACAAGCCAAAAATCAAGCTCCACCCATATCCATCCCAAGCTCAAATGTGATTCGTTGTCAGACCGAGGGGCGGCGCTTAATTGCAAAATCGATACTTTCCTACATAAACGTACCATTTTAAGCACGTTTTACCTCTCTTGTTGTGAAAAGAAGACTACACATATTAAGAAGAAAAGGGCAAAATGTAAGCCCTTGTAGTTATAATACCTAATCTGCCTTTGAGATGAATAGCAATAAATCTTGTTGATTTAAACGTCGAGAACTATCTTTAACAATGTAGAGGTACTGACAGAAAGCTACAGTGTAAAAAATGATGGCACCATTTAAAACATGAGGGTTTCGGTGAATAGGTGATTAAATGGCTTAATATTAGTGGACCTCATTATCTCTATCAAAATTTGATTTTCGTGGAATTAGTGATGTCAACCAGAAAAATGTCCCTCTTATTTCAGGGGATTTCCCTCAAGTTGGCAGCCCTGTACACCACCTCAACTTAATTGGTTGAAAAACCAACGTCAACGGCAACGTAACGGCGAAAAGTAAAATTTGATCATCTCGAACGTCATCCCAAGAGCGTGCCAACTTCCAACAGCAACGTCAACAGATGATGTAAACGACGCATACGTTTGCTTCATATTTATCTTCCAACGGCAACAGCAACGTCAACGGCAAGTTTGTAAATCGACCTTAAATAGTATGGAACTTTTGTATAGAAACTGCATAATTTATTCTTTGAATATCGTTACACAAATATAATAGTAAATTATAATTTTTCAAAACTTAACTTCCTCTGGTGACGACCCCTCTGGAAAATACTCACACTGGGACTGCAAAATACTGATCGTGGGGTTATTAGTCTCCGGACTGTAATCGACAATAGCGACACAGTTTCGTAGACAAGACGGTGATGCCTCATACACCACTAAAGCATGTTCTTCGTGATTTATAGGTTGAGTTAGGACAATATTGTTTTGCTTGGTGGTTCTTTTTTCTGCTAGATTTTTCTTGCTTTTTCGATTCTTTTTTGTACTACTTTGACACAAATCTGTGTCGCTGTTTGTAAGATCAACGACTGAAACCGCTTTATGGCACGTTCCAACATAAATCACTGAATCGTCAGACGACTTGGCTTTCAAAGCTGTAAACTTTCCCCGAGTTCTGGGGTAATTTTTTTGGAGATTGTTTGAAAAATCGGTTTTTCGGTGTCTTCTTTTAAAGCGACTCAGTTGTCGATTACCCTAAAAAATGCAATCAAAACTTGAGTTTGAAAAAATATGGGGACTCACAGCAGTGCGCAGCATTTTAAGGTAACTTAAATTTTTATACGTTTATGTTTTGACAAAACGGTGAGAGTTGCCGTCATTTTGACTTCAGCAACCATAGATGAATTCATTAACGACAAACGTCATTTAGTTTACAGCATGGACAAAAATTCCTTTGCTGTCATCTGTAGATTGATTCACTCTTGTCAAATTTTTTTTTGAAATTTTTTTGCAATATTTGTAAGGGCCACAATAAAGTACTGTGTACTTAATAACGATTTATTGTAAACATTGTTTGCATCATTTTGTTTTTAATATAATACAAAAACGAAACATTTAACATTCCATTATCTAACATTGCTGTCTAATAAAAATTAATAATTTAATTGGTGTTCTGCACATTATTTTAATTTACAAACACTGATGTGTACAACAATTATTAGGCAACATTTGCAACAAATTATTAGTATTGCTATAAAAATAACACATCGAGAAAAATTGATATTAAATGATATAAGTTCTCTGAGAAGTAGGCCAACAGTTTTACTCGTACGTGAAATAGAATTAAGTAAGTAAATAAAATACGAGATATTTTACCCAGTTACATTTTCGTCAAAACTGTAAAAAACGGCATTATTGTAAAAAGTAGACAGCTTTAGATATACATTAAAAATGAGAATTAACAACAAAACGTTCTGCTTTTAAAGATTGTCTTCGCTGTGACACAAACACAGCTTCTACTGATAAATCTAAGCCAAATTTACACTATATAGTATATTTTGTTTAAATGGAAAGTTTATTTTATGTTTCACAACCATTTTATTGATTACTTTTAAATATCGAAGCTCCATTTTTAAGTCGTTTTATTTTTTGATTCATGTTCGTCATATTTCGAAAATTTAAAAACATTTTAATAATTGACATCATCACTGTACTATTTTACTAAGTGAAGGAGGAAAACAGGAAGAAACTAGAAAGATAAGAAACACATAGAAATGTAAAGTGGAAAGTACATTTTTAATGAATAGTGGAAAGTATTTAATGTCATCTAATTGCAGAACCAATCAGGTGTAATTCTAATTCTTTTTTTGATTTATTGTGTGTTGTGAGATTGTCCTGTGGTACGTAGATTACGTTCTGAACTGATTTCGAAAACTAAAAGTGCGGTAGTAACCAGTGCTTTGATTTGTTTGGATCTTCCAGTAGACAACTGTTTTTTCACTCAGACTGACGTAGATGTTAATATTTGTTTCTAATAATTTTTTGGTAATTTTTGGGTCGATAAATTCATTATTTCCTATACTTATAATTTCATTTTGTTTAGTTCGTATTTTGAAAAAGATGAGTATACTAAGTGCACAAACTACAGTGGTTCATTCTAGGGTTCTAATATCTCAAAATGAAAACAGACGAACAACTTTCGAGTGAGTAGTTGTTTAGGCACTTCGTATACTCGTCACTTAAGGCCTGCGTACTATATTAAAATTTATCTGATAAGAGTCATTTGTTACAAGGTACTTAGGTACAAAATTTTTGCTGCGAGATGTTGATTGTAGGAAATATATTTTTGTGCTAGATACAGTGCCCGAACCTTATATGTATACAAATCGTCTTATCAAACAACTAACTGTTAGAAAGCCTGAAGCAACTTTTCTTAAGTATTTTATAAAATCAGTCTTATTCTAATCAATTGAAGCTATGTACAGTAGTAGATCTACTTCTATGGAAGAATGTCAATACTAACGGTATTTAAAATTATGTTCTAAATTACAATACTAGGTAGTCGTTAATACTTGTATTTGTATTTTCGTTAAAAAAAGTGTTTGATATAACAGTGTAAGTTGTATTTGAAACGAATGACATTAATTACTTTTCACAGTAACACGTTGCCATATTTAAAAGTAGTACTGTGTAAGAAGAAGAAAAGTCACAACTTGGATCTAATTTTATAAAACATGATATCAGTCCAACCGTTTAACAAGAAACCTCAGAAAAAGAATCACTAATTCGTCCATCGTCTCTACACTGACAACATCACTAAGTCTTGCTATGATATAAACAGCTTGATTTGATTGAATTGACCAGCCGGAATCGGAATCGGTTCTCGGATCCTTTTTGACAGCACGTGGAATGTCTGCTGCTGGCCGTGGGGGTACAGCAATTCGAAGGCCATCACGTGGTGGTAACGAAGCGAGGGGGAAACCAATCTTCAGGTATCTTTATCTTTGTCTTTCTCGTCTAAATCTAGACTAAGGCACTCTTCGAAGAAGCTTTGCATCGAGCTGTACACGTGTTCCAGTACGTTTTGAAGTTCGTGACCTTCGTCGGCGTAGCTCTGTGAGGAAAGGGGCATTAGTGGGGCTTTGATGGGCCTAAATTACCCACCTGATATCGGAACAGAACGCCCGCTTCCGTCATGGCACGTGCCAAGGCAATCCCGTGTTGATAAGGTGCCGTGAGGTCTGCCAAACCGTGCAGGAGGAAAAAGGAGTTCTGGGGGATGTTGCGCGCTCGCTGCGTCGCATCTGCTTTCACGTAACCCTTGTAATTCTCGGTTGGAAGGCCGAGGATCTTCTCCGTGAAGGCTGAGTCTGAAAGGGAATCATCGAATGATAAACGAGTGCATCTTTTCTTTCAAAAATAATTTAAAAAATCCTTGAAGGATTGCTCACATCACCTCAATTTTGTCTTGGACGACTCATTTCAAAGCTTTCTATGAATATCAAAAAGTTGTATTTGAAAATTATTATACTTAATTTGTCAAAAATATTTATTGGGTGATTTTTTTAAATTAATTCTCCCTGTTCGTATTAAATTAAGTGATAACTCCGTATTATTTAAACTTTTATCTAGTTGATATTTCAGAAATATTTCAATTTTTGAAAATTAATGAAACGAGAATGTGTTTATTTCAATTTTTTTGTGACAACTCATTTTGACATAAACGTAATCTAAGGCAGTAATGTAATAGATCTGGTGGACGGCTACTGTCATGTTTTTTTTTGCATTTCAAGACCCAAGAGTACGGAAGAATAGGTCATCGTTTGTTGTCAAATTTTAGATGTATATTAGAAATATCGTATGGATAATAAAACGCTAACTAAAGTTCATCTAATCGTCCCTACCAAGAATTTGATGACATTACTTCAAAATTTGGGCAGAAAATACTATCCAAATTTTATAAAATAACATACCACTGTTTCAACTGTACTTGTGGTTTATGAATCCAACTTGATTTTTATGACTATTGCTTTACAAAAATGTTTATTTAAAATTTGACACTATTTCACTAGTCGAAATTTGGGTATTCAAGCAGGAAGTAAGTGGAGTGGTTAAGACGTTGGGCTTGAATTGTGCCCGCGAGGGTTCGAATCACATCCCCCTTAACATTTTTTTCCTAAGACATCGAATTTGTTTGAATGTTTAACTTCGGGGGCGAAGGAATTTCTGTCTAAATAACTCTAGATCAGTGTTTTATGTCATGTTTTCAGGCTACAAATTCTTGAAGCTACAAATATTTGCAGTTTTAATACTCGTTCCTATTATTCATCATAAATTCCAGAAAGATTCTTTTATTTTTAATCGAAAAAACGCAAGATTACGTGGTGAAAACGGAACACACTATTTCTAGTCAAAGCTGACGATTTGTCTTTCCTATCACTTGCTCTAACAAATGTTATGAAATTGACTTCATGGGGCTGGTTATTTTTCCAATACCGGGTAGAGAGTATAATATGCGGCAGGTTTTTTGGGTATAGAGATGTGCTGTATGCGTTACACTTGTCAATAGCGTAAATCTTCAAGGAAGGGTGACAAACCTCTGCAGTAGGTTTGCTGATTTCTCGATTGTCATAATATAAATTAAATTTGCCAATTATTTTGATTCAGATTTCTCTTTTTTTTCTCGTGTGTTTAAATTTAGGGTCACTTTTCCAACCTTTGGGTAAAAAAATACACACAATGTAAGATTCTATTATGTTAACGATCACAGTTCAAGGTCAATTTTTGAAGTTTTATTAATCAGTGTAAAAATTAAAATAAAAATTAAAGAAGTTTGGCTTATCAAAGAGTTTTATTTGTTAAAAGTAAGGACTAAAAAAAATACGACGCATTTTTGTAAATGTGTAGCTAAGCAGAGAAAAATGTTGTGCCTCGGTGGAAGTCGAACCCATGTCTCTATGCTTTCTGGGCAAGTATCTTAACCACTGGACCACGAGCCCACTTATTTTTCTCTGCTTACCGACGTGTTATTGTGCCGCCACAAATGAATCTATAGTTTAAACATACGATAGTTTTAGAAAATTCGGCAGATGGTGGAGCAACTTGACGACATTTCAAGGTTAAACATTTGTTGGCAGTGTTGACATCTGAAGCTACTGTTTTAGCAGAAAAATGGAGAATTGAAAAGAATAAATCATTTTCTTGTAATGAAATACTTAAAAAAGAAAACTCCAGTGGAAAACCATTAACATCAGTAAGAATATAATAATAATAATGTTATAAACACATAGTTGTCACTGATCTCTAAGGAAATTTTATAACTTTATGTTAGTAGTTAATTAAAGTCATCAATATCAATATTTTTTTAGTCACCTGATTAAGAGCAGTCGCTAGTAAAGGTACCGGTAAAATCCGTTAAGATTTCCTTCCCAGATTTTCGAATTCTGACCAAGTAATTTTTTTTTTCATATACTGAGTCTATTTTCCGAATAGGAGCCAAATATTGAATTTTATTTTTATTATGTTTTCAGAAGATTCTACTTTGAACAATAACATGATAATATTATTCTTAAAATAAGAATTCGGACAGACGATAGACAGATAGACAGACAGACAGACAGACAGACACAGAGAGAGACAGATAGACAGACGGAAACCGGAGACCTATTTCTTCGTACCCTATATGTCATGAAAAGTTGAGAAAACGTAAAAGTAGAAAGTCGGCCGACGGACTCGATTACAATAAACATAAATTTAGCAATTTAGAAAAAAAAGTGGTATATAGTAGTTTTTTTTTAATTTCGGTAAGATGTTGTGAAACTGTACCGATTATGACATAAGGTATGTTTCTAAAGAATAGCGTAGGGACAGAAAGGTATCCTTGCGTAAGTACACCTTAACAAAAGTTAAAAAAATCTGATATACAATATTTTTTTCTTTTCCAGAATGTAATTTTTTATTGGTCAATAGCTTCTTCAGACATTAATCCAAGATGAGTAGCAGCATACAGCTTTTGTGTTACTTGCCCTGATCAAGGATTTTGCGAATCGGATATCGTCGACCATTATAACCTGAAATCTGTTCATGCACGCTTGATTCATGGCACCTTTGTTCGTTTCAGGCAAGAAATAGTAGAGGATGTTAGGGCTGTAAATTATCATTACCATAATAAATTTATTGGCGATTTCTAATAAATAGAAAATCATTGTTTACCATTTGGGCGTCCCTAACCCTATACTCTCAGATATAGTTCCCCAGTTCTAATTCGATTTTATGATAGTACCCATTGCGTAAAAGTTAACTCCTTTAATAACAGATTACTACTGCCGGTGATGGGACAGGCATAAATAAGTATGTAACCATGCCTTTACCATTATACTGTGTAAATGGTTAAAACCTTATTTTCAGAATTTTGGACACATTACGATAATTATAGTTTTTGTATAATTTTCACTTTAATTTTTAAGCGTTAAAAAATTTAATGTGTTTTCTCGAAATCTTTTTTTTTAATGCTTTTCAATATTTTTTTCAGAAAATATCAAATTACTGCAACTCGACATTTTTTTCTATTTTCAGCGGATTAACTCATTTTATGCTCTTCACAACCAACTGGTGAGTCTGGGAAAAATAGTAAAAAATTCCTTCTCACATTTTGGTCGAGTTAAAAATGTTTGACGTATCAAAACTTGACAAAGTTTTCAAAACCCTACGTTTAAAATGTTCGCAGTTAAGGTCCCGTGTGTTTTATTGTCGAACAACTTTAAAAGAATTTGGTGTTTTGTTGCTGGAAGAACTTGAAAAAGTCTTTTGACTTATTAGTGTTTTATTTTTTATGAATTTGAAAAAGTCGAGTGCCGCAGTGTTTTTTTTAATTCGGGAGACTTTTAGGTACCTATGGTGTATTATTTTGGGAGCACCCAGATTGTTTTGTAAATTATTTAAAACAATTTTGGGAGACTTTGGTGTTCTACTTTTGGAAAAATCTGACTTAACCTGTTTTTGAGTTAATTTTGGGACCCCGTTTTTTTTTGAAAAATTTAAAATAATCTTGAGGTTCTACTGTTTGGAAAGAATTTGAAAGTGCTTTGGAGCCTCTAGTGCCTTTTCTTATAGTAATTTAATTAAACTTCTTAGAGGATACGTTAATTGCCAAAATCAGTCTTATCTTAGCAGATACTAGCCCCGCCCACCCACCCTCTCTTTTCTTAAAGGGTATGTCATTTACCAAAATCAGTTTTATCTTACCAGGTACTAACCCAACCCGCCCGCCCTCACTTTTCTTAGAGGATATCTGATTTGCGAAAATCAGTCTTATCTTGGCAGATAGTAGCCCCGCCCACCCGCCCTCATCTTACATAGAGGATATCTCATCTGCCAAAACCAGTCTTATCTTGGTAGCTACTAGCCCCCCCTCTCTTTTCTTAGAGGGTATGTCATTGCCAAAATCAGTTTTATCTTAGCAAGTATGACTAACTTTTACAAAAAATTATCAAAAAAACATTACGGCTTACTTACAAGTACAAGGCAGGAATTTTGAACATCTTCTCTGGTTATACTTTAATGGATTTTTCTTTTGTTGGTTTTGTTTTTGTTTATAGTTTATAAAGGTCTTATTAAATGTTTTTCTTTGGTTTATTTATTAATGAAAAATTACAGTTTGTTTTATTAAATATTATTTTTTGAGACAACCGAAACCATCGTACAGAACGTACTGAAGAGTTAATCCGCCATTTTCCAGACACTCAGTATAAATAAAATTGTGGACAGGTTATGTTTAAAGTTTCATAACAATAAGTCTGCTAATAATGGAGATATTACAATCTGAAAATGCGCTGAAAACACTAACGTGAACCTCAAATAAATTAGTGAAATTATCACCGCCTCGTTTAAACTTGTCAACGTTTTTACGATTCTGTATTTTTTAATCAGTCGCTTTAAATAGATCTCTACCTACTGAATGTAAAACTGCAATAATTACAACAAGATTGTGAATCGATTACAACCTCGAACGCCTCCCCTCCTAGTTTCTCATTTGTATTCTCCATGTCTTTTTGACTAGAATAACTATGCAGATAGGAAACTTAGCAACAGTTTTGTATTAAATTGGGCTTTTGTGTTAGACAAATGTAGCATTTTACACAGAATTCGTGGTGTAAATTTACACTACTGACAGACTGCTAATGTTATCTTACTGGCTTTGAAAGGCCGTTGTAGTTTAAAATTGTCGTGTTTCCTGTGAGGACATCTGAGTGGGTTTTACGTGAATAAAATTTCCGAAAGTGATGAAAAAGTGAGACAGAGCATTGGCCATAACAATTATCACTTTCCTTCAGTAATTCAGTGTTGAAACTGCACCCAAAATGCTCAGTGTGCAATCGAGTTTTAGTCTCGGATCAATATATCTTAGTTGGATGTCTAACTTTGCCGTTGCATAACTTAAAACTTATTACAATTTTCGTTACAGAATAATTAAAAACGTCTTTGGAGTGAATTATGTCTCACTTCGACCCATCACAGCTCAGAAAAGTGAGCTTTATATGACCTGCTGAGAACGCTAGTTCGTGCTATCTACTGCTGTCACATCATCAACTTTTCTTATAAAGAAAGCAGACCAAACAAAATCATTTTAGCTATCCACGTTGCCACTTTAATAATACTTTTCAATCTTCAACAATCTCCACTAACTCGACATAGTCGTCCAATCCCATAAAATTTCCCCTATCCTGCTAAATACTCATTACGGAAAGAACCGGCCATGCAATAAAAAAGGATCAACTATAAATTCCAAATGGATGGTCTACTTACTATAATACAACCAGTCAGAAATCGGACTGACCGCTATCCCACATTTATACACTTTTTGTTGATTGCCCAGTCCGAGCACCATCGACGTGACGTAGCCACCGTACCCCCAACCCCAAATCCCCACTCGAGTTTTGTCCAGATATTTATAGGTATTTAGGAGGAATTCCAGCACTGCGACCTGATCTTGCACTTCAACACCGCCCAACTGACGATATAAAGCACGATCGTATTGTCCACTGGCTCCTCTCACGTCAAGTCTCACGTAAACGACGTCGCAATGGCTTGACATGTATGTACCCCAATCTATCCTAAATTTTTCCGTTACTGCTTTGCTGCCCGGTCTGCCATTACTGAAAAAAGAACACATTTAAGAGTCGGCTACACTAAACTGGGAATGCTGCCACATACTAAAAGCTTTACCCACACCCAATACTTACACTTCAACGAGGACAGGATAGGCAGCATCTCGCAGCTCTTCCCTCCAACTCGGAGGCAGAAGAAGTTGAACTTGAGCCCTATTACCATGGGGCAAAGGCACCTCGAAAGACTTTTGCTTAGGCAACGCCAGCTTCTCGAGCATATGCATTTTCTGCGGCCTCGTGTCGTACAGAATCTTCAACAGTTTGTGCGTTGTCGCATTATGCATGCCTGCTAATGGAAGACCGGGTCCTTCGCACTGAAGAACGTAAAATGACGAATTCGACGATTCTGAACGAGGGCTTATCTGGAACGTGCGACGCTTTCAATAAAAACTGCCAGCTCGGCCGAAAGCACACTCACCAAAGCGTTGAAGTGCGTACAGTTGCCATAAAGATAACGGCTACTCCAGAGGAACTTCCCTATCTCGCACGTTATGCAGCTAGACTCTAAGCGACGGGGGTCTTCTGTAGACGGATCACGTACGACGTACAGATGCCTTTGACCCGCCTTGTGCTCCTCGGTTGCCAAATAATATCTGCGGAGACAATCAAACTTACTACAATATTTGCAGGCGACCCGGCGCATCCACCAAAATTCATAACGCGATGATTATATCAGAGAGAAATTTGAACACGGGATTAAACTACTTTGACAATCTGTTATCGTTCGACGACGCAACAGCGCTAAATGTATCTACTCGGATTTCTATACATCGTAGCTGTTGCCCAATTGGTGGACAATTTTTAGCTTGATTATGAGTGCAATTTATAAACGCACGAGTTTCAAACACAAAAGTAAATTCATTTATGACGAATAGTTTTTGATATAACTCAGAAACACAAGCTTTTTGTGATCCGTTGCCAAATAATAGTTATCAACTATTTGCAGGCGACCCGGCGCATCCACCAAAATTCACAGCGTGTTGATGAGATGGGCGAATAGCGGCAAATAGAAATTCGAACGCGAGATTAAACCACATTACCAATAACGACGCAACAGCGTAAAGCGTACTCGAATTTCTATACAACGTACTTGTTTACGAAATGCCCACTTGGTGGTGTTTACAACAGCTATCGGTTTTAAACAAACCCCCAGCGTGTAGTATGACGCTAGTGTTCATTTGATCGTTGAACAGTTCGAGAAAAGTGATTTTAGCAGCAGCGGTTAGAGGAATTCCCGTTGATTCTTTTGGCTTTTTAATAAAATGTTTTCAATGAATTGGTTCGACGTACTACGTAATTTTTACAAATTGAACTTTATCAAAACTGGGAACTGATTATTATTTATAATGCAGAATTTTCTATTGTCTTGCGTAATTACGATCAACTGTAAACTGTAAAACTCTCATCAAGAAGTTAGCTTATTATCAGTTTGAAATATCTGTAAACATTTTTTGTTACAACATAAAACCAATAAACACGCCACTGCTTTTGTCGTACTTTGGTCATTAAATGTAGTTCGCTTAAGTTTAATATCAATACAAGTCTAAATGAACATTGGTGACATCTTATCTGGTAAAAATTCTGTGATTTAAAATAAGACTAAAAACGAAGTTAATTGCTACCTTAGATCATACATTTTTTAAAATCAAGTAAGAAAAATTATAATATAATATTTGAATACTTCAAAAAATTTAAAAAATTTAAGTAATTTTTCCAGTAGTCGATTTTCAACATGACAAAAATTGTTTGTAAAAGTGAACTTAAAACTTTTTGAAAAGAATTTTTTAGTTCTTGTACTCAAGATTGATTAAATCTAGCAACAATATAGTGGAAGGTAACGTCGTCCACTTCTTGTTTTTATTGTTGTTAAATGCCCACATTATTGTATAATTTCGTGTTGATTGTCTAATTTTATTAAAATAATAAATACATCGCCAAAAAAGTGGCTTAAAATTCATCGCTATAATGAGACAACAATGACAAAAAAATCCTAAAATGTGTTGGTATACCAAGTTTTTTTTGGCCAGGGCAAGTCAGATTAGGTCAGGTCGGGTCACCTCAAATCAGGTCAGGTCAGGTCAGGTCTGGTAATAAATTAAAAAAAATCTAAAATGTCTGTACGGAAAAACTTGGTGTCTCAAGTTTTGTTCACCAAGCCAAGTCAGGTTAGGCCAAGTCAGGTCAGCTCAGATCGGGTCAGGTCTGGTAATAAAGTAAAAAACACCTAAAATATATGTACGAAAAACTTGGTGTTTCAAGTTTTGTTCACCTAACCAAGTCAGGTTAAATCAGGTCAGGTCAGGTCAGGCTAAGCCATATCAGGTTAAGTCAGGTCAAGGCAGATGATCCATGGTTGTAATAAAATAATAATAAAAAACCTTATAGGTATGAACAGAGAGATTTGGTGTCTCAATTTTGTAAGCGGGCCAATTCACGTCAAATCAGGTCAGATAAAATCCAAGGCTGTAATAAAATAATAAGGAAAAAACCTAAACTGTAGGAACAGAAAAACTTGGTGTCTCAATTTTGTTGCTCAGGCCAACTCAGGCTAGGTCAGTTAAAGGTGTAATAAAGTAACAATGAAAAAAGACTAAAATTATGTACAGAAAATCTTGGTGTCCCAAGTTTTAATGGCTAGGCTAAGTCAGGTTAGATCAGCTCAGGTCAGGTCAGCTCAAGTTAAGTCAGATCTGGTAATAAAATGAAAAAACCTAAAATGTCTGTACGGAAAAACTTGGTATCTCAAGTTTTATTCGCCAGATCAAGTCAGGTTAGGCCAGGTCAAGTCAGCTCAGGTCGAGTCAGGTCTGATAATAAAGTAAAAAACACATAAAATGTATGTAACAAAAATTTGGTATTTTAAATTTTGTTACCAAACCAAGTCAGGTTAAATCAGGTCAGGTCAGGTGAGATCAAATCAGATGATCCAAGATCCAAGGCTGTAATAAAATAATAATGAAAAAACCTTAAATGTATGAACAGAAAGATTTGATGTCCCAATTTTGTGAGACTTACGTGAACATTTTTTTAGTCAAAAACCTATCGATCGATAAGTCCCCTGCATCAACCAATGTAGCATAGTATCAAGCGAACATTTCCCCGCATGGACCAATGAAATTACACTATTTTGTTGAATTTATAATTTTTGCTGACTTGTTTAGTTTGTTGTGATGACGACGAAATACGGATAGAGCGATTTTGGTTTTTAATTATGACTGTTTACAATATTATTTATTAAAAATTAGCATAAGGCCAAAAAATGAAATTTTCTTCAAGAAATAGTCTACCAAAACTTGGCGATAATTTTTCCAGTTTCTCTCGTCGCTGCGCTTACTCGGGAGATTGATGAAAAATTATCGCCAAGTTTTCTCGGTCTCGGGATCTTACTATTGAAAATATACCGAAATTATTGGTATTTTATTGGCCGGGTGTACTCAGGTCAAATCAGATCAGGTCAAATGAGGTCATTATTAGGTATAACATTAGGGGAACTACTTAATTATTTAAGGAGTTTTTTTAACTACCTTCCGTGTTATTATACTAAACTCATTTGACATACACCTTGTAAAACTTTTATGATTTAAGCGGCTTAAGCCAAAGAACCCTTATAAGTCAAAGTGGCTATTGTATAACTTAACTCAGTTCGCATATACCCAGTAAAACTTTACAGCTCCATTATGGCAACAATAGACAGTAATAATCCTTGCGGTTCGGGTCCATAATGCTTACAATAGCCAGTTTGACTAAGCCGCTTATGTAATAAAAGTTTTACAAGTTGTATGTCAAGTGAGTTCACTGTATATCTCAGAATCTTTTGTGAATTTTTGGGTAACTTTTTCGAAAACTCAATTTTTCAATATTTTCCCCTAATTAAAATTTGGTGTATGTCAAGTGAGTTTGGCATACATTGAGGTGTATTATACTTTTTGCTGTAATGAATTGATTGTGGTAGTAAAATTTATCTAGCAGTATAAAAAAACATTGGGTATTTATTTATTCCTGCACTGGCATTATAGACCTTACTTAAGCGCTGCAATTATTATTTGGGCGGTAAAATAATTGAATGGGCAATTAAGTAAATAGTTGGCCAATTCTCCAGATTCAGTAAAACTTAAACGTTATTTTATCTGTTACAGTAAGTTTTACCATACTTTTTAAAATTTGTCCATAGAATTTCTTTTGCAATTATTTTATTGATTCTACTCGAAATCATATTTCAATTTAAAATTAAAACAAACTATTTTCGTTGCAAAATATTTTCTTTATTCATTCAATATCGACAATATACAGCCTGTTATTGAAAGGTACGTACAAACTAAAATAGGCAATTGGTCTCGAAGTATGGGTGCTAAAAGTTAAAAAAAGCTCAGGTAACAGTGTTCTCCCTTTAGAGATAAAAATGATTAAAATTTATGTCCAAATTTGTTGTACGCCTCTGATAAAAAGATCATCTCTCGTTTCTATAGCAACATTTAGTCTTGACAAAAGTTTTATTGTTACAGTTGCTAGTATTTACTAAAATAAATTAATTTTACCTATTTATCCTTCAGTAGCATCTAAAAAGGTTGGATAAGGGTTAATCTTCCCCTTATCATTTTGATAATACAAAATAAGTTTTTTAGACTTCTTAGACTTCGCGAAGAACTGTCAATTTTGTTGTACGTACCTTTCAATAACACCCTGTATGTATGAAAGTGCTGCTGTAGGGGTTTATTGTTGTATCTATTTACAAATCAAATATAGGGATTGATAAACCTAATGGTCTTGATGGAATTGCCCTAATTGTGCGGATTCTGCCTCAAGGGTCAATTGGCTTTCACTAATTTTATATCAGTCATGAAACACGTAACATTAGAATTGATTAAATAAAAAATGTAAAAAAAAATAAAACTGTCGAAAGTAATTAATAATTTCTCAAGTTCCAACCTTGAGATCTTTTCTCTATCAATTCTAGCGAGTACCGCGTTGCTCTTACATTTTTTTCTTAGTATCTATGGCTAGTTTTCATTTTACTAATTGCTTAATTTAAATTAAGTAAAAATTATTTATATGAGAACTGTTTAATTAACCCAATATTTCTAGCGGACTGATTCTTATTTACTTTTTTTTAAGGCGAATGTGTTACTGAACATAGAATTTTTATTTTCATACTGACCGAAGCTGTCTGCTTCTTTAAATCAAAGCCAAATATTAGTATGTGGTAAAAGACAATTTATTACTGTCGAATTCCCTACTAAAATATACAGGACAGATAATGTAAAGGAAATAAACATTTGTCTGAAGAAACAATTTTTAAAAATTTGGCCAAAACTTAAGTTTAAGTTATACAGGGCTTTTATAAATGGCTCTAAGGGCGTAGTTGGCCATGGATTTCAAAAATCCCGCTTCGCTGAAATTATGCCCGTGATCAATGCATCATTATGACAGTTCTCACTTGTCACATTAATGTCTAATGTAACCTGTCATTTAAAGTCGTCGTTATTATTGTTTTAATGTTTTCCAAGTGCGAATTATAGTAATTCTAGTTGATCCAAGCTCAAAACAACAAAACAGTCATTTTCAGAACTCTTGATGGTTGCGTACGAAAATTTTG